GGGGGGGGGGGTGGCTTTTCCTGTCGCCGCAGCGCCTCCGAAGCGCCCGTTCACCCCCACCCCGCCCGCCCGCGTGCGGTTCAATTCAGTGCCCCGTTCTGCCTGCCTGCCTGTTTGGTTGTTTGGGAGCAGCTTCGGCTGAGAATAATAACTATTCGCCTCTTTTTATCAGCCAAAGCTGCTCCGAAACTAAGAAGGCAGGCAGGCAGGCAGAACGGAGCACTGTGGATTGAACCGCGGGCGGGCGGGCGGGGTGGGGTGGGGGTAAACGGGCGCTTCGGAGGAGCTGCGGCGACAGGAAAAGCCACACCCCCCCCCGGCTTCTTTGAAGCAGTTTCTTCCTGGGCTGGTGGAGCAGCGAGAGAGCGACTGAGAGAGGAACGAGGCAGACACCTGAGGGAGGGAGGGAGACACCTGAGGGATGGGGCTGAGGGAGGCAGGGCCGAGGCGCTCCCTGAACTTGGTGGTTTGCTGGCAGACGTTTTATTACCCGACTAGGTAACAACATCAGATGTTACCTAGTCAGGTAATGAAACGTCTGCAAGCAAACCACCAAACTCGGATTCTTCTCCCCCCCCCTCCTTGAAAAAGTGTTTGTGCTTGAAACTGGTCCCTGGTACAAAAAAGGTTGGGGACCACTGATATAGTGCACTTTCAATGACATAAGGTCTTTTTATGCCCAAATAATATCAAAATATATTATTCCTTCAGAAACCTCTAAAATAATTATTTAGATTCATTGCATCAAGTTTAACTTTATCCAGCTTGGTTCCCTCCAGTTTTATTGGGACCATAAATTCCTAATTCACACGCTGGCTTGGAATTCTGAAAGTATTTGCCCTATCAGGTCTGAAAGGAAAAGTAGCAGGCTAGGGAAACTAATGTAATTTTTTCTGAAAACTGTCAATATACTGTATATGCTCCATTTTATTACTTTTATTTATGATTATGTCATTACATAAATCAAGCAATAAAATAGAGTGCTAAGCAGGTTTTGATATATTTGAAGTGCTTATTTTATAATTATAAAAGGCAAACTAATTTAAATGTGTTCTTGTTTTCAGGCAGGACAATAGCATAGATTCTACTTCTTCTTTGAAGGAAGAAAACAAATTGGAAGGGCTGGATTCAAAACAAGGTAGGGATTGGAGAAATCGAACTGTTTTGTGTTAGGTATTCTGAATATAGAAGAGGAGATAATGTGACTGAAATTGGGTGGGTAGGGATATATCATGCACATATATAAATATATTGTAAAGAACTATTAACACTACATATTTATTTGGAAAAATATATATGATATAAAATTTTGAATTAGTTTTTAGCTGTCAAGTAAGGAGAAGAACACGCGTAGATGGGTTGCACATTCCCATCAGGTAAACGCAGTATTCATAATGCCAATTCTTTAACTGTGATTTTGACTATGAGTTTTTCTTCCTGGTAGAATATAATGGATCAAAAAGGTGAACTTCAGTAGCAACATTGTCCTGCTGTTCATGCAATTGTCGTTTCATATTAATGAATGGTTTTCATTCAACCGTACAGGAAAAGAGAAATGGTGTTCCTAATCTCACAGTTGTGATGAGGATAAACTCCATCTTTTACTACTTCATAGACATAGGTCAGATTTTATTATTTCCCCCAGTTGTGTGGCTTTCACCCAGAATTCTCATCGGATGACCTATCTATCTCTTGCAGAATTTTTTAAATTGAAGCCTACCTATTTGATACCTCAGATTTGTAGAGGGATGACTAGAATTTGGAAAATTGACAGGAACCATGTGCATTAGAAATTGTAGGGAAGAGGATAACTTATTTTGTTGGTGGCAATTGGTACGAATTCAGTGAGAAATTCCATCTATGGGTTTGTTTGAATTTCAACAGTTTCCTGTCTATTTTGTGATGATAAGCATGTGCAACAAACTACAGAATTGGATCAAATAAGATTTTATTAGGATACATATTCCCAGTAATTATTTCTTTAGAAATAAATGCTTCATTATTATTTTTTTGTATTAGCCAATAAAGAAAACTTGACTTGAATAGAATAGAATTATGAGGCAATCAAGCTTTAGTAAAATGCTGTGACTTTCTAAGGAATAGTTTAAATACTGCTTTTTTGTACTCTGGTATGACCTTTGAATTGACACGTTTCCTGCAGATTTGCTCCCTTTCTTTTCTGCTATCAGGGGGAATTGATGACTTCTTGCAGATGATTACTTCTTTGTCCTTTTTATGACTTTATCAGCCAGCGTTTCATGATGGCTTTAGGCAATGACAACAGTGCTAGTCAGGATGTTAGGTTTTAAGGAGCTTTGGAGAATGTGCAAGCATAAAATGGCAAAACTTAGTAACTGTTCTTATTCTACACTATGATGCTGAAGATGAAAAATACAAAATCTCAGAAAAAGTGATTCAGAGAGAGAACTTAAGAACCCAGAAATAAATTTCACAATTTCAGCTGAAAGTATAAATGCAGGTTCTCATTTTGATGAAATGAGAAAGATAATGAGAGAAATACCACCAGAGACTTTTCTTACTACCGTGTTTCTCACAAAATAAGGCCGGGCCTTATTTTTATTTTGACCCCCGAAAAAACGGCTAGGCCGTCTTTTTGGGGGTGACTTAATCCCCCCCCCTTGCATCCTCGGGTGGGCAGGTGGCAACAGCTTGGATGTTGACCTCGGCGTTGGTGGGGCACTTCGTATCGGGACACCTTCCGTCACCATTGCTTTCCCTTCTCCCTTGCTGCCGTGGCATTTAGAGCAACGCCGCGGTGTTTGGCGCAGCCATGTGCAGCCAGCCAGGGCTCCTCCCTGCAACCGGAGCCTGGCGGAGACACTTGGCTTCAGGCGCTCCTGTCGCCACCTTCCCTTTGCCTTCGAAGGTAAAGCCAATTATTTTAAAAACGACGCCCTACTACAACAAAGCCTCCCCTGCCCGAGAGGGCAGCCCAACCCCACATGGGGAGGCGAATCTCCCGGGGTCGCAGCACAGGATCGGCCCACCTCGGGAGAAGCGCCCAGCCGCCATCCCTGCCTGGCACTAGGCAGAGTGCGAAGAGTTTCGCCTGGGGCGCCCAGCACAGCTGACAGGCAGGCCCTCCTTCCCGGCAGCAGAGCTCTCACCAAGGCAGTGAGCGCCGCCCCGCCAGACCCTCCGCTCATCCCGCCAGGGCCGCTCCAGAGCCATGTGGGCTGGGCAGAGCCAGGAAAGCGAGCCGTGGGTGCGCGCCCGCCTGCCAAGCAAAAGAGCCGGGCCGACCTGAGCTTGGCTTCCTTCCCAAGTTCCTCCAGCGTGAACCCGAAGGGGCCACCGGGAGAGGCTGCCCGAGGCAGTGATAGCGCCCACCTGTCCGCAGACAGGGAGGCGAGGTGATGGCAGCGCTGCTTCCCTGGCCGTCGGAGAGAGCCCGAAGCCCCCCGTCCTTTCCACCCCTCGCCCAGCCCGTCCCCGTCCCCACGCATCTCCAAATGCGCCAGCAGCTCCAAACGCTGCAGCAGAACGGGCATCAGGCAGAGGCGCTGACTCGGCGGGGCTCAGCTCGGAGGAGGACTCGGCGCAGGCCGTCGCCTTGCCTCCCTGTCCATGGATGGGTGGGCGCTATCACTGCCTCGGGCGGCCTCTCCTGGTGGCCCCTTCGGGTTCGGGCTGGAGGGACTTGGGAAGAAAGCCAAGCTTGGGTCGGCCCGGCTCTTTCACTTGGCAGGCGGGCGCGCACCCGCGGCTTGCTTTCCCAGCTCTGCCCAGCCCGCACAGCTCCGGCGCAGTCCTGGTGGGATGAGCGGAGGGCCCGGCAGGGAGGCGCTCGCTGCCTTGGCGAGAGCTCTGCCGCCGGGAAGGAGGGCCCACCTGTCAGCTGTGCTGGGTGCCCCAGGCGAAGCTCTTCGCGCTCTGCCTGGTGCCAGGCAGGGATGGCGGCTGGTGCTTCTCCCGGGGTGGACCGATCCTGCGCGGCGGCCCTGGGAGATTCACCTCCCCACGTGGGGTTGGGCTGCCCTCTCGGGCAGGGGAGGCTTTGTTGTGGTAGGATGTCGTTTTTAAAAGAATTGGCTTTACCTTCGAAGGCAAAGGGAAGTCGGCGATAGGAGCACCTGAAGCCAAGTGTCTCCGCAGGGCTCCGGTTGCAGGGAGGAGCCCTGGCTGGCCGCGCATGGCTGCGCCAAACGCCGCAGTGTTGCTCTAAACGCTGCGGCAGCAAGGGAGAAGGGAAACCAACGGTGGCGGAAGGTGTCCCGATACAAAGTGCCCCCCCAACGCAGGCAGCACCATATCCGGGTATGCAACAAAAGTACTTCCTAATGGCAAGCCCCCCCGCCATTCCCCCCCCCCCCATTTCACATGTTTAATATAGGCCTTAATTTGGGGGGAGGGGCTTAATTTGATTTTATGCCAATAAAACATGCTGGGCCTTCCTATTGGTGGAGGCCGTATTGTTGGAGAAACACGGTATGTAAGATTATGGATGCAAAAAACAAGAATAAAGCAGCTCAACTAATTAAAGATTTCTTAGGCCATTATAGCTGTGTCATTATTGTGTAGCATACATCTGTGGAGATTTCAAGCACTGAAGAAGAAACCCAGGCTGATAACACTTCTTTTCAGAGACAGATAACTTCTCATTCTTGAAGAAAAGGAGAAATAATTTCTCTAAAAAATACTTTTGCCTCACTCCCTCAGGTTAGTTCTTCTTTCACTTGGAACAGTTGGCCTTTGACAAAAAGAGATGAGTATGTCAGAACATAACTTCTGATCTTTGAACTAGGCTTATTCAGTGGGGAATGTGATCTCTCACTGAAGAACTTCTGATTAGTTGAACAGTATATTAAATAAATATGGACTATTACCCTGTAGCAAGGCAAAAGAATTTCCATTCCTTAATCCTATTGATTCCCATTTCATTTGATCTTTCATACTTGTTTTTGGCAGTATGATATTTGATTGCTTTTCTTAGGTGGTAGAAAATTAAATATTGCATCTCGTAAATATAAATTGAATATTTGATTATTATGTTGACAACTTTTTCTCAGAAGGCAATATCGATGCCTAAATTTTGCAGAGGTTCCAAATTGCTGATTCACCCCACACTCTGCCTATCCTGCTGCACTGCTCTATGGTGTCAGTCCATGAATGAGCAAAGCATGTTAGGAATAGAGACCAAGAGTATATAATCAGAGCATGAAGGTCATTCCAGCTGCCCAGTTAAAGCATGTAGGCAGCTATATTGGGCAGCAGTAATATAGGAAGATGCTGACGATCCCTTTAGCGACAGTGGCAAAGGCTGTGCAGGAAAAGGCACTGGTAAATGACTCCTGTGTTTTACCAAAACTCCCTCCTCCATATATGCACATGATGCATGAGATAAAGTGATTGATGATACAGCACCAGATGATGAGCCCCTAAGGCCAGACATGCTATTGAAGAAGAGCTCGGTGGTGTTTATGACATGGTTAGATTAAAGCCTTCAGGATGTCTAGTTGCTGATGTTGCCATGCAGACCAAAAAACCCCAAAGCTGCAAAAATAGAATTACAGTGGGAATATGAAATGTAAAAAACATGAACCCAGGAAAATCAACACAGTGAAAGATAAAATATAATGACTACAAATTGACATCTTAGGCATCAGCAAATGGAAATGGATTGGAATTGAATACTTTCAGCCAGAGCATAATGCTATTTAGTACTCAAGACAAGAGAAATAAGGAAGAACATTGCTTTCATAGTTAGGAAAGCTGTAGCATGGCTACAGTTCAATTAGCGACTTAGTACTATCAATTAGACTTTATGAAAAACCCTTTAGTATGACAGTTTTAAAGTTTATGCTCCAACCACTCATGTAGAGGAGAAGGAGGTTGGTGAGTTTTATGATCACAGTTCAATTTCAAATTGCCCAAACAGATTAGTAGTGTATCAATGAAGGCCTTGAAAAAGATATCAAGATGCTGGCACACATATGCCTACTACAAGAATCAGAATCATACAAGTGGTGGTTTTACATGTGATACTGTATGGAAGGGAAAGTTGGACGTTGAAGAAACAGGATAGGAAGAATATTCATGGTTTTCAATTTTGGAGTATTCATGGTTTTGAACTTTGGAGAAGATTTTTGAGAATACTGTAGATCACGTGTGTCAAGC